TTTTAGAATTTACATGTGTGAAATTGGCAGAATTACAACCAAAATTCCTAGTAATTAAGTAATAGAGATTGCCAATCTGATTACCCTTCCCAATCAACGAGTCCTGAGTGAGGTCCAAAATGACACAAAAATGAAGGAAAAAATTAACAATACAATTGTGAGTGGTTGTTAACATACTAACACTGACAAGATTAAAAGTGAATTCGGGAACAAAGAAGACATCATGCAGCAGTAAAGAATCTATCAAAGACACACTGCCAACTCGAGTGACTATCACAAAGCTACCATTAGGCAAATTTACGTTTATGGGTTCAACATGCTTTAAGGAGGTAAAATAAGATTGTGTACAACAAATGTGGTGTGTAGCACCAGTGTCCAATATCCAAAAATCAGATGTGTGAGTAGCTGTGGAAATGGATAGATAGAAAGGGGAAGGTATACCTGCGGCGACGGAAATGGAAGCATCAATGGAGGCGTCGGGCATGGCAGTGGAGAAGGGGTTGTGGAGGCGTGCGCTCAGGTGAGCAATGATATCCTGAATCTGAGAAGTGCTCAAGGCGGAAATGGTGGCGGCAGAATCCGGTACCGAAGAGCCAATGGAGGCAGAGGAAAAACCAGAGAAGTGGGAACTCGCGATGACTGCTGATGGGAGACAATGCGGAACTGTGCCCTTTCGTGTGGGCTTGTTGCGAGGCTGGGCTGCTGCCCGAGTTGGGCTGGAGCTTAAATTCTGGACTGGGCCGAGGAATGTGAGTGAAATAACGGGCTCCAGTATTGTTGCGAGCTTGGGCTTGGGCTTTAGAGACATTTGAAGCTTCATTAAGGTTTGACTTGGTCTTGGCCTTGAGCCTCGGTGGATTCCCGTGTAGCTTGTAGCATCAGTCCACAATGTGGCCCACGAGCCCACAATGGGTACACACGGGCCTCCTTCTTCCTCCTTGAGCTAGGGCAACAGTTGGTTCAGCTGCTGGTGTTGAGGAGCCACCGCTTGTGTCGATTCCTATCGCGAGGTGGCGCTCTTTTTGCACAACCAGAGAGAAGACCTTTAAAACCGATGGAATAGTTTCTATCATCAAGATTTGACCTCGGATTCCAGCATAAGACGGATTCAACCCCATTAAGAAGAGCATGATGAATTCTTACTCTTGATAATCAGTCCAAACTTTCATGTTCCCACAATGGCAAATCGGAGCAGGCTGATACGTCTTCAACTCATCCCACATAGTTTTCATGCGGGTATAATAAGCATTGATAGAGAGAGAGCCTTGAACCAGATTGTTCATTGCTTGCTTGAGGTGGAAGATCCTTGTAGTGTTGCTTTGCTGGAATCGTAGGAGGAGATCAATCCACATGTCCTGGGTATTCTCGTGATACAATAGGTTGTGGGCGATGTCCTTGGCGACAGCGTTGAGGAGCCACGAGATTACCATGCTATTGCACCTCGACCAAGCACTAGCAAAAGGACTGGTGTTCACCGTCTTGACGAAGGTGCCATCAATAAAACCCAATTTGTTCTTTGCATTGAGGACAATTCTCATAGCCCTTTCCCAAGTATTATAATTATTGTCGTGAAGAAGGGTACTCACCAAAACCAGACTTGGGTGGTCTGCACTGTGGAGGAAGAATGGGTTCTGGGTTTCATCAGTCTGGGCGAATGAACTTTGCAGCTCCTGATTGGGTTCCACGGCTCCTCTGGCCATTGAAGCTTAATGGGGTCTGAGATTTGAACAAATTTGCAGAAGAAAGATTGAATAAAAGAATCAAATTAATGAAGTTTGAGATTGAATTGAAAAAAAACAAGGAATCTATGATCAATCGATCACAGTGAGAAGAGCACAGAAGCTCTGATACCATATTAAGCTGGAAATTTCTTTATATTGTCTTTCACAGAGTACAAGGAGTATTATATATACATGTAAGGATAATGAAGTAAAATAACAACACAATCAATTATAATAAAAAAATAACATTATTCTCTAATAGTAAAGTACAGGTTCACGCAAATCCCTCTGTCTCCAGTCATACAATTGTTTACTCCCTTGTCCCCCAGATCTCACTATGCCCTCCAGTATTTTTTGACTATCCTCCTCTTTCACTCCTCTCTCTAGTCGCCACCCGAACTTCCTCTCATCTCTTTGTACTAAACTCCTCCACCGGCCATTGTGGCTGGGCCTTTTGGATTGGGCCGGGTGTTTACACCTTATCATATATTGGGTTGTATTTATTTATTATTAACTATTTTTTTAAATTTGAATAAGTAACTTGAACTAACAATGTGATAATTAAAATAAGAATGAAAACTTTGAACAAGTAATTGATTAATTAATTATTATTATATTTATTTATTGGTTGATTGGGTCTACATTTTATTTTTAGATTTAAATAAAAAATGAAGACTTTGAACAAGTAACTTCAGAAATAATTTATTACCTGATCGCACAAAATAATAATAATAATATGTAAGTCTCTCATAGATCTCTACAAGAATTTTCAAAAAATAATATCATTTACTCTTGGAAAGACTTTATGCATATAAATATATAACACAATATATATATATATATAATATTTTCACTATCTCATGTTAAGAATATGTTTTTTGGTTGACTGCAGTGTTTATAAAATACAATTATCCTGAAGAATTTTAAGGTAAATATGATTTTAGTAATTTCTAATAAATATAAAGTTATTGATGATAAAATAATATAATATTTTTACAAGATCTCGATTCTGTGTATCATCTTACACACGGATTTATATTTATAAAAATTAATTATATAATGTATAAATTATAATTTATTTTTATATTTAGAAATTTTAAATAGATTATTATTATATATTTTATTAAAATTATTTTTATATCTAAAAATTGCAGAGTGCATTATTTATAGTTAATTAAAAATTAAATTGTATTTATATTTTAGAAATTCAATTAGATAATTGTTGTGTATATTATTGTCTTAGTTTTGTTTTTCTATTTTCTAAAATTTGATACCATAATATTTATATTTTTTATATTGTAACTATAATTATCATATTAGTTGTACTTTTGTATTTTAAAACTTGAGTGGATATTTTATATATATATATATATCGATTCTAGAAATATTTAATTTATTAATTAGTTAAAGATAAAAACAACACACATATTCTTCGAAGATATTATTTATCTAGTACTTGTATTTGATAAAAGACGTGACGAATGACAGCATCACCTCTCTAAAACTAAACCAACAACTTGTAAAAAAATATATAAGTATACATATATATAATATATATATATATATATAAATTTTGTCTGATAGGTAATCCATCTCTCTCTTCCTCTACCCCTCTATAAATAGCATTGGAATTTCCAAAGGCAAATGAGATAGGTAGCTGTCGTTGGCTGTCACCTTCTTGGGTTATTTACAAGCAAATAGCAATTTACTCTAACTCGAAGAAGAAGAAAACAATGGCTGCTGCCTCATCGAAAATTCCCATCATAGATTTCTCCTTGGCAGGCTTAGAGCCAGGCGCCAATCTATGGTTCTCTACATGCCAACAAGTCTGCAATGCTCTCGAAGAGCATGGCTGTTTCGAAGCCATTTACAGTCATGACAAGTTTCCTCCTAATCTTCGTAAGCAAATATTTGATGTGGCCAAAGAACTTTACGATCTTCCCCTAGAAACCAAGAAGAAGACTTGTACCGACAAGCCTACTCGAGGCTACCTTGCAGTTAGCCAGATCCATGAAGGAATAGGCATTTATAACGCAGACACTCTACAAGGTGTTCAAAACTTCACCACCCTTATGTGGCCTGACGGAAATCATCAGTTCAGGTACATGCACTTTCATTCCTTTGTTCAATTTCTATTGATACTTCATTAATTTCTATGAGATTTCAATCCTTTTTTCATTTTTCCTTTCAAATTTTGTCTTCAGTGAAAATGTATACAATGTAGCAAACGTCATAAAGGAGTTAGATCAGAAAGTTGTGAGAATGGTGTGTGAGTACTATGGTTCAGAGAAGCACTATGATTCTCTCGTGAAAAAAACAACTTATGATCTGCGTTTCTCCAAGTATAAAACATGCAAAGTCATTGAAAACAACTTAGGCCTTCGAAGCCACACAGACAAGACTTTCGCCACCATCCTTCATGAAAATGATGTTAATGGTTTGGAGTTATTGACTAAGGATGGTGACTGGGTTTTGTTTGTTCCTTCCTCAACTTCATCTTTCCTGTATCTTGCAGGCGAAGCATTCAAGGTTCACATCTTCTTTAAATATATATATCCACCATTAATTAATACCACCTAAATTATACATATATATATATATATATATCTCTTATGGTAATGTTTTTATTTTTGACTCTGGATTAAACTGAATTAGTATGGAGTAATGGTAGAAATGCGTCCTACTCCTCATCGAGTCATGGCTAAAGGATACAAAGAAAGG